ACTTCCTAGATATAGGGACTCTTGGGCCCAAGTCTGTAAGTAATAATAACGTACATGGAATCTTAGGGTATCACCCTTAAAACTTAAAACCCAAGCCCCAAATTCCCAACCCCAAGCCCTACCTGGGGCTCCGTTTGCCTACGTCTGGAGGATGATACCCCAGGTTTTAGGGCAGGGGGTATAACCTGCTAGTTGATGGGGTTTGAGAGTCACTCTAAGGGTAGTTACATGGGCCCTTAACCTGGTCCCTCACCTCCTTCACAGGGTTCTGACGTATGGGCCCCTAACTTGTAAGGTGTGTATAAGGGGTGTATAAGGGATACCCTTTCCAGGGCCCATACTAAGTGACCATGGAACTACCCGTAGAGAAGCCCTAAACCCTAAGCCCTAAGCCCTAAGCCCTCAACCCTAAACCCTAAACCCTAAACCCTAAACCCTAAACCCTAAACCCTAAACCCTAAAGGTAGAACCCACAAAAAGCCACCACGCGGCCGAAGGCAGACTAGACGAGCGCCTCAGCTGGCGGCTCCACTTGGTGCCAGTGCTGCCGCAGAAGACTCATGCGTGCCTTTGGGTCCTGCAAGTTTAGGGTATAATTTAGGGTTTAGGGTTTAGGGTTTAGGGTTTAGGGTATAGGGAGCTAGGGGTTGCTTGTCCGTTGTCAGAGCTGTGCTCCTACCTTTTCGCTTCAGAGAGGACCCGAAGCCATGATAGAAGGGGGCTCGTGTGAAGACTTCATTTGGCAAGTTTTGAGCCACGGGAGCATGCCCAACTCAAAAGAAAGAAACCCCGAACGTCCCCGAAGAAAGGCACCGAATCCCAACCCCTGAAGCTCAACTCGAACCCTGAGCTGAGACCCTAAAGCCTGCAGCCTAAACACTAAACCCTAAGTCTAAAGCCTAAACTCCCACACATGGTCGGGATCATGAACTTTTTGCCGGCTTTGCGGAACCCCCCCAAACATGTAAGCCCTAAACATCCTTAAGCCCCCAAAACCCTAAGCCCTAAGCCCCCCAAACCCCTAAAGCCCCAAACCCCAAACCCCAAACCCTAGACCCTAACCCCTAACAGCATCGGGCAGATTTCCCATGGTTTGGTCATTCTGCACCTGGCCCGGCTTTGCAGTTTGCGTGGCAAAAGGTCACTGGGTAGGCCCTTGGGATAAACCCCTAAACCCCAAAACCCTCAACCCTTTTCTGGTGCTTTTTTCAGAGGGTGAATTCACCTAGGCCCTTATGAGGACCATTTTTCATGTTTAGGAGCTATGAGGGTTTAGGGTTTAGGGTTCAGGGTTTACGGTTTTATGGCTCAGGGCTTACATTGTCAAGGGCTGGCTCAGAGCCCAGGCGACTGCTTGGCTCAACAATGCGGGCGGGTGTTTCACTATGTGCATGCCCAAAGCAGTAATTCTAGCCCCAGGCGCGATTTCTCGCTCCTCGATTGGAGGAACATGCAGTGCAGGATTGGCAGTGGGTGGGGCTCCATGCAGGTAACTCTTCTTTTGGAATTCGTGTTCTCTTCTTCATGCCTTGTTAAATAAATGTCTCCAACAGAGACCCTAATAATTACCCCAAACCCTAAACCCCAAACCCCAAAACCGTAAACCCCCCAAACCCAAAACCCTAAACCTCAAACCCTAAACCCCAAACCCTAAACCCCAAACCCCAAACCCTAAACCCTAAACCCCCAAACCCCTCGGAGAAGCCCACTGCCGGGGCATTGCAAGTCCCGTTTGTGGCGCAGAATCTCTGCGAAGTCCTGCCCCGCACATGGGTTTACGGGTGTAGGGGTTTAGGGTTTAGGGTTATGGGTTTAGGGTTTAGGGTTTAGGGTTCAGGGTTTAGGGTTCAGAGTTTAGGGTTTAGGGTTTCGGGTTCAGAGTTTAGGGTTTAGGGTTCAAGGTCCAGGGTTTAGGGTGTAGGGTGTATTGTAGCACGTGTGCTGGAGATTGTGTTTGGGGTTTAGGGTTTGGAGAGCATAGGGTTCGTGGTTTACAAGGAGAGAAAGGGTCCCTTACTAATCCGTGGTGCCTCAACCCTCAAACCCTACACCTTAAACCCTGCACGCTAAACCCTAAACCCCAAAGTCTTGATGTCCTACGAAGAGCGAGTAAATTTGCAGGGGCAACTTCGCAGACATTCAGGTTCAGGCGCACCGCCTCTGCACAATTCAAGCAGTCACCGTCAGTATTGTTATGGTTAAGGGGTTATATGGGTTTAGGGATGTAGGGGTTTAGGGTGCAGGCTTTAAGCAATCTTTTTCCAAAGTTAAGTGCTCGGCCCTAAGCCCGAATCTCCTTACCCCAGCCTCGGAAGGTGGGGGGTTTGGGGGGGAGCCTAAACCCCCAAAGCCCCCCTCAACCCTAAACCCTATGTCGGCCGTGAAGCCATGCGAAGACGGCCGAGCCCTAAAGGGGGTTCAGGGTTTATAGGGTTGGGGTTTAGGGTTTAGAGTTTGATTATAGGTTGTGTTCTTAAGTTACGCGTCGCATGTCGCATGTCATTGTAGGATGTTGGATTTAGGGTTTCGGGACACTTGAGAACTTTAAGAAGCCTAGAAGCTCTCGATCGAGGTGTGCGAGGTTGGAGTGCCTGTGCATGTCGGGCCTCGAATTTTCAACATGGCGGTGCTTCGGCTAAGGCCGAGGAGGCTTCCGAGAGCCTTTGTAGACTTAAGGCGCAGGGCTTTCACGTACACCTTGTAAACCCTTGGACACTTAAAAACCCTCAAACCCCCTTAAACCCTGAACCGTAAACCCTATAGACCCGAAATCCTCAAGGCTTCAGAACACACCACACAATCCCCCAAACCCAACCCTAAACCCCCAACCCTAAACCCTAAACCTTAAACCCTAAACCGTAAACCCTAAACCCTAAACCCTAAACCCTATAAACCCTAAACCCTATAAACCCTAAACCCTAAACCCTAAACCCTAAACCCTAAACCCTAAGCCTGCCCCCCGGCCACCGCAAGCAGCAGAGCTGCGCAGGACTGACGAAGTTCCACCTGCCGCAGAGTTCTGTGTCTCACGTTGCAATCAACAGGTCGAGGGACCTTCGCAATGCTCCAAGTCGGCATTTTTAGGATTTAGGGTTTTGGGTTTAGGGTTTAGGGTTTTGGGTTTACATTGGGTTTAGGGTTTAGGGTTTAGGGAACCTTCACAATGGTCCAAGTCGGTGTTTTTTGGGGGGGTTAGACTGAATGGCTTAGGCATTTATAGGTGTAGTGACGTTGGGACTATTCGGGTGGCGGTTTAGGGTTAGGGCTTGTACAGCTTGTAGGGTTGAGGGTTTGTAGCAGGACTTTTGGATCTTATGCGGGCAGCGCGCGGGGTTCAGGCTTCATAGAGTTAGAAGGTTTATAGGGTTCAGAGGGTTTGGAAGAGGTAGCTACCGTCTCGCCAGAAGGCCTGCCCTCGACGAACTCTTTAATTTCAAGAACACCCTACGCCCCAGCATCAGTCTGAGTGACAGAAAAGAGCGCTTCTTCGCCCTTTTAGGGTTTAGGGTTCAGGGTTTAGGGTTTAGGGTTTAGGGTCTTTCGGGGGTTTAGGCTTCAGGAATCGGGTTGAGGACCCTAAATCCTGTACTGCCTGTGCTGTGTAAGCACCGAGGTGTTTCAAGGGCTAGCAACCTAGACTATTAATTGCTTAAGAAACCCGAAACACACACACATAATATTCCTTGTTATGGGTAATATAGGGATGATTGTTTTTACTCATTTGGGGTTCTTAAGCAAATAGTTGTAGAAAAGCACGAGATGCAAACACATGAACCCCAGACCCTCAAGCGCTCAACGCAGTATTGTGCCCCAAAACTCTGACTTTTCAATAGCAGGGCGGAAGCAGGGCTAGGGATCTACAAGGGTTGGTTGAAGGATCAGGGTGGAGCAGGTTCATATAAGATAAACATATATATATATATTTATTTATTTATTTATAATGTATACGTCTATATATATATATATCCCGAAACATATAAACATATAAATCTAGATGAACAACATAAATAAATATGTATATAGGGTGCTGTCTGGGCATCGGGCTTCTCAGTGTGGTTGTCAGCTCCCAATGGGCTTAGGCTGGGTTGGCATCACCCCCAAAACTACCCCAGGCCCTAAACCTGAAACCGCCCTAAACCCTCAACCCTCAACCCTAAACCCTAAACCCTACGAAGTACAGGTTTCAGCCCAGAAGTGCCCTAAGGCTCCAAATAGCCCAAAGTATGCAGTATTTACAGACTTGAGACCCTAAACCCTAAACCCCCAACCCCTAAACCCTAATTAAACCCTTTAGACCCTAATGTTGGTTATATTTGTATACTTGGAGCCCTAGGGGTAGGAACGTGCTCATGGCGCCAAATGTTCCGTGCTCGCAGCGAGGGCTGGCAACCTGGGCCAACTAATTACCTTGTGTTCCCTTCGAATTCGCATAGTTCTCAACCCGAAACCCTACACCCTAAGCACTAAACCCCAAGCCTAAACCCTAAACCCTAAACCCTAAGCCCCCTAAACCCTGAACCCTGAAAGGAGATTTTCCCTTGAAAAGCTCTAACGACAGAAGGGGGCGGGGTCCTCGTGGGGCAGGTTGGTTCCTTCCCTGGACCTTGAGCTGTCTGAGCAGGACCGAGAGTCGGTGGAGGTTTTGGGGAGGAGCTTGGGGTTGGGGATTTCTTGGGTTTAGGGTTTCGGGTTTAGGGTTTCTGTTTAGGGTTGAGGAAAGTCGGGTTCAGGGCTCAGGAGTTTGGGGTTGGGGGTCTTCGGGTTTGTAGCCTAGGCTTGAAGCCCGACCCTAAACCCCAAACCCTAAACCCTAAACCCCAAACCCCAAACCCCAAACCCCAAACCCCAAACCCCAAACCCTAAACCCTAAACCCTAAACCCTAAGCCCTAAACCCTAAACCCTAAACCCGAAACCCTAAACCCTAAACCCTAAACCCTAAACCCTAAACCCTAAACCCTAAACCCTAAGCCCAGCCCAGACCTAGAGAAGACAACAAAAGGAGCTGGCAAGCTTGAACAGCGAGCATGCCAAGGCCTGCCGATCCTTTTTGGGTGGCTTAGGGTTTAGGGTTTAGGGTTTAGGGTTTAGGGTTTAGGGTTTAGGGTTTAGGGTTTAGGGTTTAGGGTTTAGGGTTCCGAATGAGCGCTTACAGAGGTTCTCTTTCTTCTAGGGTCTAGGGTTTCATTGAAATTAGGGTTTAGTGTTCAGGGCTTAAGGGTTTAGTGTTCAGGGTTTAGGGCTTCTAAGTTGCAACGTCTAAGGGTCTCTATGAGGTTCTAAGGGTCTGGATAAGGTTTACTTGGGGGCCCGGCTTTCTAGCAGCTCCATCATGCACCTTTGTGACACCTGTAAGACTCGGGTTACCCTAAGGGTCCATATACCTTGTTGTCGTAAACTTGGGCCCCAAAGTCCGTAAAAGTAGGACGTACCTTTAAGGCCCACGTGTTCTCCCTGTCTTAGTAGCTGACTGAGTACAATTTACACTTGTTGGGATATTATAGTCCCCTATGGAACTGAAAGTGTACACTTTTTGGGGGCTTACGAACTTTAGCAACTAAGCTATTTAGGTACATGGACCCTTAGTCCCCAATAGGAAGTACTTTAAGGCCCACATATTCTCCCTATTTGGGTACATGGACCCTTAGGGTACCCTAAACCCTAAGCCCTAAACCCTAAACCCAAAGCCCGAAGCCCTAAACCCTTTACCCTTGTCTATAGGGATCCGAAGTGTGGGCCCTTAGTCTATATAGTTAGTGTAAGGGCCATGGAACAGGGGAACTATACGAAGGGCCCACGCTTGGAGCCCTAAACCCTAAACCCTAAACCCTAAACCCTAAACCCTAAACCCTAAACCCTAAACCCTAAACCCACGCTTGGAACCCTACACCCTCAGAGCGAATGCTCAGGAGAACATTGCCCCCAAGCAGTCGATCTGCATTCAAAGCAAGGCGCTGTGCAGGGCTTGTGGCTTTAGGATTCCCCAAGACCCCAAAATCCTGAACCTCCAACACCCCAACACCCCAAACTCTAAAGAGTTTTGGGTTTGATTTGGGGTTTGGGGTTTAGGGTTTAGGGTTTAGGGTTTAGGGTTTAGGGTTTGAAGTTTGGGGTGTTGGAGTGTGGGTTTAACCCCAAACCTTAAGCCCCAAAACTAAGCTCAGCCCAAGGCTGCGCAGTTTCGGGTTTAGGGTTCAGGGTTTAGGGTTTAGGGTTTAGGGTTTAGGGTTTAGGGTTTAGGGTTTAGGGTTTAGGGTTCAGGGTTTCGGGTTTAGGAAGTTCAGGGTGAGACCTGAGCCTGAACGGCCCCTTAGCCCTGAGCTGTAGGGCCTGAACAGCCCCAAACTCCAAGCCGTTGATCCCTCAACCTACCCTAAACCCTAGCCCCTGACCCCAAAACCCTAAACCTAAACCCTGAACCCTGAACCCTAAACCTACTAAAGCTGTAAACTTCCCAAACCCCCGACCTCAGATCCCTAAAGCTGGAACTTCCCAAGCCAGAGCTCCCAAACCGTGGGTCTCGATAGCCTACATTCACTTCTTAGCCCATGACCCTAAACCCTAACCCTAAACCCTAAACCCTAAGCCCTAAGCCCTAACCCCTAAACCCTAAACCCTAAACCCTAAACCCTACAGGTGCAGGTGACCGACTTTCCCATCCGGGTGACTTTCCAAGACGGCCAAGTGTTGGAGCTGAAGGCCCGGCACGAGGGGGTTTAGGGTTTAGGGTTTCGGGTTTCGGGTTTAGGGTTTAGGGTTTAGGGTCATAGGATAGTTTAGGGTTTAGGGTTTAGGGTTTAGGGTTTAGGGTTTAGGGTTTAGGGTTTAGGGTTTAGGGTTTAGGGTCATAGGATAGTAGATCAAGACGCTTCCCTCAGGCGAGCCCATGCCGAAATGCTGCGAGCCTCCTCCTGCAGCTCCTGCCCTGGAAGAGGACCCGGGTTTAGGGTTCAGGGTTATCAGAGGGTTTAGGGTTTAGGGTTTGGGGTTTAGGGTTTAGGGTTTAGGGTTTAGGGTTCTCAGAGGTATTAGACTTATTGGAGTTATTAGAGAAGTTTCAGTTCTTAGAGTTCATAAAGCTATTAGAGTCATTAGGGTGTTCGGGGTTGAAAAGGGTTTGGGGTTGAAAGAGAACTCTTGCTTTCAGCTTTAGGGTTTAGGGTTCAGGGTCACCTCCAGTGGTGTTGAAGGCTCCCCGAAAAAAAACTTAGCCGACTCAACCCAACCTTCAATCCTAGACCCTGAATACTTCAAAACCCGAAACGCCTTAAGTCCTGAACCCTAAGCCCCACACCCCTCCACCCTAAACCCTAAACCCTCAACCCTGAGACCTGAACCCAGCCACAGCCCAGAAGTCCCGGCAAAAAATCGGGCGTTCGGGGCTTCTGGTGGGGGTGCCAAGGGCCCTGTAGGCTTGATGGGTTTCCTAAAGCCCTAAACCCTAAACTCCTAAACTCCTAAACTCTTGAACCCTGAACTCCCTAAACTCCTAAACCCTAAACCCTAAAACCAAGTTTTTTGTGCTTTGGGAGTAGCAGATTCGGGTTCCGAAACCCTAAACCCTAAACCCTAAACTTAGAGCTCAGGGTCTGCGTAGGAGGGGGGCCCGTCAGGAGCCATCCATTTCCCAAGAACTTCGCGCTGCAACGAACCGAGTCAGGGTTTAGGGTTTAGGGTTTAGGGTTTAGGGCTTAGGGCTTAGGGCTTAGGGCTTAGGGTTTGGGCTTTAGGGTTTCGGGTTTAGGGTTTTGGGATCTTGCCCAAAGTTGCGAGATTGGTCGTTGACTCATGGCTTAAGGGTTTCCGCCTTAGGGGTGAGCTCTATGTCCCCAAATCCCCATCAGGGCTTAGTGTTTAGGGTTGAGGGTTTAGGGTTCAGGGTTGAGGGTTTAGGGTTTAGTGTGTAGGGTTGAGGGTTCAAAGTTCAAAGGGCGTCCGAGGAAGTTTGGAAGAAGCAGCAGAAGCAGCCCCCGGCCCAAAATGCACATTGAAGCCCTCCCGCAGCCCTATAAGCCCTGTAAGCCCTAAGCTATAAGCTAAACCTTAGCCCCTAAACCCGAATATATAAAGGGGAACAAGATTAAGGGTCCCTTTGCCCTCCGCATACCCCTTGAAGTCCTACCAAGGCTGTTGCCCGATGGCCGTGCCTTGGATTTTGACCAGCCGCTGCAGGCGTTCGGGCGAAGGGGGGCGGGAGGGGGGAAGGCCCTGAAACCTTGAAGCCCCCTAAGCCCGAAGGCCAAAAGGTCTAGGTTTCTAGGGCTTACCCTAAGGCCCTAAGGGTCCATGTACCTTACTCTTATATACTTGGGCCCCAAAGTCCCTATATAGAAAGTATGCTGCTCCTTATGAGCACCGGGGCACAGGGTGCAGCTCGTGCCCTTGATGGCAAAATCCTTTGGTGGCAGATGTGGGGGGTGCAGAGCGGCACCTCTCAATGGCTAGAGGTACCTTACAGGAGCAATCGTAGGGTTTTTAAAGGCCAGAAGAGGGTTTAGGGTTGAGGGCTCAGGGTTTAGGGTTTGGCTCTTCTGCTTCCTCTCCTAGTATGCAAGGGCTTGTCTGATGACAGAAGTAGTGTTATTTTGCTCTACCTCGCAAGGCTTACAAGGGTCTTACAAGGGTCTTTCCCAAAAGAGGGGTACCCCGAAGATACCCCAATCTACAAGAATCCTTGCAATAGCAATCCACACCCTGTAGGGAAAGCCTAAGGGTCCTCATGGGTCGCGCCTCTTTACCGCGTTGAGTATTGTTGGATGGTATGATGCGATGTAGTCAAGCAGGTGTCTTGACCAAGCCATATGAAACAGGGTATATACTACTGTTTTCGGTGAGTGTATGTAAAGGTTCCTTCTTAATCTTGGTGAGAGTGTATACCGGGTGTCCCTTTGGGGGTACAAGAAATATAGACCCTACTTCATATATTCCGCACAAGAGGTGCAGGGCGTGCACAGCGGCATCGAGCTGCGCGTGGGCGAGGCTCGAGAAAAGGTTCAGGGTTCAGTGTCTCTGGGGCTCTTAAGGTTTAGCAACGTGGACCCAGAGTAGGCCCTCATTCGCTTGTTTTTAGGGTTTAGGGTTGAGGTTCCCTTAGAAGCTTGCTTTTAGGGTTTTAGGGTGTACGTAGGGTTTTAGGGTTGAGGTTCCCTTATAATCCTTTCTAAACCAAAAGGATAACCTGTTCATGCTTCGGTTACTCGTGGGTCTAGGCAACGCCCCGCAACCCACCGCTTGAACCCCAAAGCCAAGCAAAGCTCTCCGTTCAAACCCTTCAGGGTTTGGGGTTCAAAGACGTATCGAAAGCAAAACATCGGTGATAAGGGTTTAGGGTTTTTAGGCAAGCTACGGGCAGCTGTTTGGTCCCTTAATGTGGTTCCTTACCTTCCTTACAACGTCCTGATGTATGGTCCCTTGTGTTGTACAGGGTATAAAAGGGGTAGGGCCGCCTATTCAAAGACCGTGAAGCTACCCTAAGAAGCAAACCCTACTTCGACTTTCAGGGTACCTAAAATAACCCCAATTAAAACTTTATACTTAGAAGCTCCTGAAGTCCTCTGAAGTAAGTAGGCTATAAGTAGACTTATAGTCTACTTAAAGTAGGCTATAAGTAGACTACGAAGTGGGGTTTAGGGTCAAGTTCCCACGGCCCACAATCCTGCGAGCCTTTCTGTAGGTTTGGGAGATGGGGTTGATAAACATGCAGAGGCTCTGTAGGGCTTGTTGGGCGTGTAGGTTCCCTAAACCCTAAACCCTAAACCCTAAACCCCAAACCCTAAACCCTAAACCCTAAACCTTTGGGGGCCCGCTCTGTGCGCCAAAAGGCACCTTTGGAGGATACCTCCGAGAAGGAGACTCTTTGATCAGCGGCATTTTCAAATGTTTTTGTCAGTTATAGTGGGCCCTAAACCCTAAACCTTAAACCCTAAACCATAAACCTTAAACCCTAAACCCAAGGCAGTTTAGGGTTCATGGTGCCAAGATCACCTGAACTCAGTTTTCAGGCCTGATACAAGTTCTCCGACTAAACTGTACTAACCATAATAAATGGGTGTCTCCTGTTTTAAATGCCCTAAACCCTAAACCCAAAACCCAATCCCTCCGATAGGGTTTAGGGTTTAGGGTTTAGGGTTTAGGGTTTAGGGTTTAGGGTTTAGGGTTTAGGGTTTAGGGTTTAGGGTTTCGGGTTTCGGGTTTAGGGAAACTAGGACCCGGAGTAGGCCCTTATTTCCTTTTTTCTTGGGGTTGGGGTTCCCTTAACATCCCCATAAAGGCAAAAAGGGCACCCTTTTTATTCGTGGGTTACTACCAGGACCTACTTCGTGCAACTTTGTAGCTTTTGCACCCCAGAAAGGGTGTGGGATGTATCGGGCATAGTTTCGGGAACCTTGACTGCTATTTGCATAAGAACCCACAAGGACTAAATAGAAATGAAATCCCCATATCTAGAGCCCTTATAAGGAGGAATGTGGTGTTTCTTTTCGGGTTGGGTTCTTAAGCAAGTGGTAGTTAACTACTGATCACATACGAAAAACCATGCTAAGCGGTCCAGCCACTCTAGGTGGGGCCTGGGTTTTGTTGAAAGTGGGCTTCTCGGGGATGGTTGATTCTCAGGCTTCTTCCAGTTTCAGGGCTTTGGGGCTTAGGGTTCAGACCCTAAACTCTAAACCGTAAACCCTAAACCCTAAGCCCTAAACCCTAAACCCTTGACCCTAAAGGAGGACCTGCGTGATCTCGGTGAGGAGGCGTTTGCCAGGGAGGCCGGGTGCATTTTCAGCCCTCAGCTCCGACTCCCTACTCTACGAGACTTTATCTTGGGATGTTCCCCCTTATACTAGCAGACCTGACTAGGATTTTAGCAGGAGGTACTACAGTCCTTATTAAGGACTGTTAGCATAAGGGGGAACATCCCAAACTTTATGCCTCAAGGGTCCAAGTACCTTAAAAACATATGCTTGGGCACCAACGTCCCTATACAGGAAGTACTTTAAGGCCCAAGTATTCCCAGGTACATGGGCCCCTAAGGGTTCTGCCCCAGGTTTTCAAAATCCTAGCCCTTTGAGGCACCCACCCCCCCCCCCCCCCCTCCCCCTAGTCGCATCGGCTTGGGCCATGTAGAGCTCGCCCATATCAGCCGGTGGTGGATCTTCAATACCCGACAAAAGAATGGGAGGGAGGAGGGCTTCGACCCCCAAGTAGCTAAGTAGCTTCCCGTTTTGGAGTGCCCATTTTAAGGTTTGTACAGACAAAGCAAGAGCGCTGGGGACCCCAAGAAGGGAACGTAAGCGTGTGGTTAGGTAGATCCTTCTTGTGCGCGTTCCCGCATGCTCGTAGCTAACATGCTGCTCAGAAGAGACCGGTCGTAAGCCTGTATTTTGCTTCTCTTATAAGCCCTAAACCCTAAACCCTAAACCCTAAACCCTAAACCCTAAACCCTAAACCCTAAACCCTAACGCGTCTGAAGTTGCTACAAGCAACAATCTGTAGCAACTCTGGGGCATCTTCAGGTGGGTATGCCCCCTTCCGTATATTCCCCCTTCTGGGTTTTGGAGTACCACCCTTTAATACTTTTTTTGGTTCTGGGTTCCTTTTTTTTTTTTTGGTTCTGGGTTCCTATAATAGCTACTTATACCTAAAAGTATATACTTTTTTTCCAGGGTCTACTCCAAAGCTAAGCCTAGGCCCTTTAGCAGTCACTGAGATATGTGCCAGCTTAGCTTGGTAGCCCAGTGGTACCCTTTACCCTTCTGTTTGCGTTCTGGGTTCCCTCATAAAATATCCAACCCCACAAAGGGAGCCCTTATCATAATATGGCTACTGGTCTACCAAGTTAGAAATACCACCAAAAAACTCATCCCCCAAGCCCTACACCCGCACACCTCACCCCTTATCATCCCTAAAACTACAAACCCCAAGTACATCCCAGTATAAGGGGCCCAAAGCCAGGTGGAGATGGGATGGAACTTGATCTACTGGCCACTGTGCGTCGCTCGAGCCCCAAGTGACTCGGTTTCCGGGTTTAGGGTTTATGGTTCAATCCTAAGCCCATCAGTTTTCGTTCTCAGAGGGTTCAAGTTTTTTGGTGAGGGTCCGGGTTTGAAGGTTTGGTTAGTCCTGAGCCCCATTGCGGGCTGAAATGGTTGTGGGGAAATTTCTTGCTTGCCGTGTTTGGTTCATGGGTGCCCCCTATTGCCCGCCTCTATACTACCCCCCCCCTCCTTGGCTCCCCCCCACTACTCAGGCTATGTAGGTGATGAATACAGGAAACTGCCTTGTGGATGAGGGCTTCTTTGAACCTTGCACTCTCTAAGAATAATTCAACATACTCCGAACCCATACCCCTAAGCTCATAAAAGGAGAACATGTGGAAGGATTTTGCCAGCAAAATAAGGGGTTTGCCCGATGGGTATGTTGAATATTTCTTAGAAACCCCCACCCTCCACCCATCGAACCCTAAACCCGAAACCCGAAACCCTAAACCCTAAACCCTAAAAACCCTAAAAGCCCTAAAAACCCTAGAAACCCTAGAAACCCTAGACCCTAAACCCTAAAAACCCTAAAAACCCTAAAAACCCTAAAAACCCTAAAAACCCTAGAAACCCTAGAAACCCTAAACCCTAAAAACCCTAAACCCAAGTGTGGCTTGAGGCGCAAACCGCCTTCGCGGAGGTGCTCGCTGCGCTGAAGAGGCACAAGGAGGCCAGGTGCTTGACGAGGACCCAAATTTAGGGTTTAGGGTTTAGGGTTTGGGGTTTGGGGTTTGGGGTTTTTGGGAGACTAGAACCCAGGGAGTACCCTTTCTGAGTACCCTTGGCGAGTGTACCGAAACCACAAACCCTAAACCCTCAACCCTAAACCCTCAACCGTCCTTTAGGAGCGCGCTTTTGGGAGTACCCTTTGAGAGTACCCTTTGGGAGAACCCTTTGGGGGTTGGCTTTGGGGGAGGCCGTTGGGGAGAGAACCCTAAAACCTAAAACCTCAACCCTGAACCCTAAACCCCAAACCCTAAACCCTAAACCCTAAACCCTAAACCCTAAACCCTAAACCCTAAGCCCTAAGCCCTAAGCCCTAAACCCAAATTCTGTTGCGCCGCCTGCTTGAAGCCTCCTTATGCATGGCCACAGTGCTCGTCTAGCTGACCCCGCATCCTGCGAGCAAACCGGTGACACTGCACTTTGATCACTACTATTTGCTTTAAGAACCCCCCCCAAAAAAAAACAAAAACACACACACACACAACAGAATCACTGTATTGCCCTTATAAGGAAGATGTAAAAAAATGCGCTTCTTAAGCAAATGGTAGATCATTGGCTTCTTGCGGACTTTTTGGGTTCAGAAGCACCTCCGGTGGGAACGCTTGTCCACATCATTGAGGAAGATGAGGCCGAACTTGTATGGCGTAGGGCTGCCGATATACGTCTCCGTGTTTCGCCCGCAGAATACCGGTGTTGGGTCGGCTTGGTGAGCCCTAGGACACAAGCTCTGCTGAGCTATACCACGAGGGGAGACAAAGCGCACCGGCACGCAACCCTGAACAGCCTTGAAGCCTCTCTACTGAACCCTAAACCCTAAACCCCAAACCCCAAACCCCAAACCCCAAACCCTAACCGTATGAACACCCGAAGCTCGATGTGAACCCTAAAGCCTAGGTGCTTTCGGGTGTCACTTGGTAAGTCTTATATAAACACTAAGCCCTAAGACCTTGTGCAGGATTTCATAACCTTAAGACTTAAGCCCTATAAACCCGAAACCCTCAACCCTCAACCCTCAACCCTAAACCCTATAAACCCTAACCCTACCGTCTGGGCCGACTGTGCAGGTGGTGGTTCTGGGGTGGCAGGCGTGCCACGACTTGCAGGCCCAACTTCCTTTTGGGGTTAATGGGTTTAGGGTTCAGGGTTTAGGGCAATCTTTGATATCCCATTTTTCTGTACAAGGGAACCCATTAGTGTATCATCCTTCAAGAACACAGCTCATCTTGGATTGGTTCGTTTTGGGGGCCTGAGGGCGAAGGGTCTATCGACACCCAAAACTCTGCACCCGAAACCCTAAGACCCTAAAACCCTGCACCTGAAAATCCTAACAAAACACTACGCCCTTGAATCCTGAAAACCCTACAGCCCTAAAACCCGCGACCCGAAACCCATATTCCCTACCAACACCGACTCGGGGGGCCCCCCGGCCGACACGACAGTTAGTGGGCCTTGGGGTTGGGCCTTTGGGGGAACCCCACTCCCCCCCGCACTCCCCACTCACCCTCCCCCACTTCCCCCCAAAAAAAACACAAGTAAAACACCAGCCACGCCCAGCGTCCAACCTTGGGGTTTGGGGCATGTACCGTCTTTGGGGACCGGTGTATGAGGGGGTACCCCCTATTTTCCCCAAGGCCCCAAATACGCCAACGTAGGTATTATTTACAGACCTTAGACCTTGTTTGTTTTCTTGGAGCCCTGTTGTTTCGTAAATGCCCATATCAGGGCCCTGCGCTACGCAAAGTTAGGGTTGTCGGGTTTAGGGTTTCGTGCTTGGGGGCTGAAGGTCCTATATGTGCTCAGGGTCAGGCTTCTCCGGGGGAACCTTTTTCCCAACTTGGAAGTGGAGCGCCCGTTTACCGTTTGCTGCAGGTCATGCAGTTGGCGCGAGAGCTCTGCCACAACGTGAGTAGCTTGACTGCAAGAGTGAAGGCATTCGGGGGTTCAGGGTTTAGGGTTTAGGGCTTAGGGTTTAGGGTTTAGGGTTTAGGGCTTCTTCAGGCTTCTTCACAGGTTGGAATTCAGGGAAGAGTGGTTGTGTAGTGTGGGAGGTGCAAGCAGGCGAAACCAGGCCCTGAACCCTAAACTCTAAACCCTGGCGGAGCCGAAACCCTCTGGCGGGGGCACGACTGAGGTAGCGACTACTTCATCGCACGAAGCTCAGCCTCTTCATTCCATGCCACTGCAGCAGTCGTGGGTTTGGGGTTGAGTGTTTAGTTCAGAGGCTGGGGAAAGTCTGTTCTGCCTTCTTGGGACACCCTAGCTGCTGCATCAACATAGATTACAGCCCCTAATTACGAATGCTCCTCGTTCTAGGGACCCGAAACGCGAAACCCTAAACCCCGAGCGCGCAAATGCTAGCTCTCCATCACAGGCCACCGGCACCGAAGATCCTCCAGAGGTGCGATGGGGTGTTCGGTCGGGGGGTTTAGGGTTTAGTCTAGGGTTTAGGGCTTAGGGCTTAGGGTTTAGGGTTTAGGGTTTAGGGTTTAGGGTTTGGGGGCAGGGGCGGTTTCAAGGTTCAGGATGTAGCCAGTAGCACCATGGGCTGAATCTGGGGCATCTTGGCCGCGAGGGGAATCTCTGAATCTCGGGTTCCTGTGCCAAAGTTTCGGCTTGGAAGCTTAAAGTTTTCAAGAGGGGGCTTACAATCCTAGGGGGCCCGCACCCTGTAAACGTTTCCGGGTTCAACCCTAAGCCCTAAACCCCAAACCCTAATTTGAAGTTGAGGGTTTAGGGTTCAGGGTTTATAGGGTTCAGAGTCTCTGAATTCAGACGTCTCTGGGACGGAGGTCCTCAACCCGGTACACCCGAAACCCTACAGGGTTTAGGGTTTAGGGTTGAGGGTTTAGGGGTATTCACGTAAACCCTGAACCCAGCGCAAGCGTGTCGAAGGTGGTTCGGGTTCACCTTGTTTAGGTCTTAGGCCTCCTGAAGGCCTCGTTTTTCCCAGGTCCCTAAACCCTAAACCCTAAACCCTAAACCCTAAACTCCTAAACCCTAAACCCTGAAAACCTGAAGCCCAAAACCCGGAACCAAACCGAGCCCGAAACCGTCCGTCCCGGCGGAGGCGTGGTGGCTCTCCTCCAAAGAGGAGGCGCGCATCCGCTTCGTCGTATTCCATGGTTCAGGCTTTTTTTTTTTTTTTGGGGGGGGGGGTGTGGGGTGGGGTAGTTTTGGGGTTCTGTGTTTTTTTTTCGTGTGAGAGTGTGTGTGTGTGTGTGTGTGTGTGTGTGTGTCGGGTGTTCGGAGTGTTGGAGTGCAGGTTTCAATCCCAACTTTCCTTTAAAGCATTGATGTCGTCGTTGCGATCCTGCCTCAGACGGAACATGCTCATCCATTCGAGCAGACCTGGTGCTCGTGTACACAACCACTGCACATACCCTAAACCCTAAACCCTAAACCCTCAACCCCAAGCGAACATCCACCGGATCGGTGTGCCCTCTGGCGCTCACGACTCCTAGGGTTTTCATCCCCCCCCCCCTCCTTCCACTCAGACTCCCTAAACCCTAAACCCTAAACCCTAAACCCTAAACCCTAAACCCTGAACCCTAAACCCCACAGAAATGGCGAGCTGCATCAGACGTGTCAAGTGGCTTGGCTGACAAGAAGCTCATTGATTGCTGGTTTGTGTATGACAAAGCAAGGGATGAGCATTTGAGAGCCAATGTGGGCACAGCTGTTCGAGCGGTGCAGCGATCAGTTCGCAAAATGCCTGACGCCAAACAGACATGGTACATGAACGTTATTTGGTCAATCCTGACTGAGCTGCATGGTGAAGATGCCTCATGGGTTTCAGCGATGATCCTGTACTTCTGTTCCGATGTGCCTGGTGTGCATGAAGCATACAATTTCTGCTTATCCCGTGAGCTGTTCCGGTTGAGCAGAACAGAGCGGTTGGCCTACTGCAAGCACCCCCCCCCCCATCCCCCGAAATGAAATGGAGCTAACATCCTCAGATCTCAACCTGAACCCCAAGCCCCTGAAGCCTTATAACCCTTGCAACATAGAGCTCTAAAAGCCTCGTGGCCCATCTTCCTCGACTTACGCACAGGTTCTTAGTAGGGCATGAGTTATAAGGTTTAAGGGTGAGGGTTGAGATTGAATTTGGGAGCTCCCCCTTGCTAAGAACCAGCATGCCCTAAACCCTAAACCCTAAAGCAGCAAGTCGCAGGCAGCGTTGGCGTCGGCGGCCGCAACAAAGCAGTTCTCCTTGCGAGGCCAAACACTGCCCCCCCAGCCCTGCGCGCCCCCCCCCCCCCCCCCCATGTACCCCTAAACCCGAAACCCAAACCCTAAACCCCAAACACAACTCCCCCCCCCCTCCCCCCCGCCCCCCCAAGCACCCTCAACCCGAAACCCTAGATCCTGCACCCCTGGACGCCCAAAGCCAGCACATCTGTAAACCCGAAACCCTAAACCCTAAACCCTAAACCCTAAACCCTAAACCCTAAACCCTAAACCCTAAACCCTAAACCCTAAACCAAACTTTACCGCTTCAAAGCCTTAGCCCTGGACGATGCATCCAAGCACCCTCAACTGTGAGCCAAGGTCCCACTTCCCAGGTCAGCTTTTGTTGTGCAATGATAGGGTTCAGGGTTTAGGGTTTAGGGTTTAGGGTTTAGGGTGTAGGGTTTAGGGTTTAGGGTTTAGGGGTATAGGGTCTTCCGGTAGCCCCCTTGCAGCTTTGTAAGGGTTGTCGCGATCGGCGCGCCGACTTGAACTCCCCTCCTCTTCGCTGATTTCTCTACGCGCGCCCTGCACTGGAGAGACGCTGACTGGGTTTAGGGTTTAGGGTTTAGGGTTTCGGACTTAGGGTAGGTATAGTATAAAATACGATGTAATGTAGTGTAATGTAATTGAGTTGAACAGAGTTCCTCGAAGATCCTCATCCCGAAAGCCACCGAACCCTGTTGGAGCCCTAGGGTTTGGGGTTTAGGGTTTAGGGTTTAGGGTTTAGGGTTTAGGGTTTAGGGTTTAGGGTTTAGGGTTTAGGGTAACTAAACCCCTAAAACCTCCAAACTCCCAAAAAGGCCCCGCATCCCCATAGGCTCGTCAGCCAGCGGCTCGCTACCCAAGACATCAGTCCTGAAGCTGGGGGCCGAGGTAGCAGGGTTCGGGGGGATCTAGGGATAGGGTTTAGGGTTTAGGGTTTAGGGTTTAGGGTTTAGGGTTTAGGGTTTAGGGTTTAGGGTTGAAGGGCCTGGGGTCAGGGTTTAGGGTTTAGGGTTTAGAGTTTTGAACTTTGTACTTCGTATTTTGAAACCCGAAACCATGTAAAACAATGGGTTCCCTAGGATCACGTATGAACCCCTAAACCTTCAACCTTTTTCACGGCGTTTAGATTGCCTGCGGGCTCCTACAGCATGACAGGCTGTTTGGAGTCATGGTACTCATTAACCAATTATAACTGTACTTATAACCCACTTATAAGCCCTTGAAGTGCCCTAATATGGTTAAATCTACAGTTATAAGTACAGTTATAATTGGTTAACAGGTACCATGAACCTCCAAGTGCGAGTTGGAGCTTTGGCGAGCCGCACGGTCGATTCTTGCACAGCGCTGGGTTTTGCAGCGCAACCCTGAGCTCCAAGCCATTGAGCCCCCCAAACCCAGCGCGTCAGGCCACCTCCAGGCCCCGTAACTCCACCATGGAAACCCTAAACCCTAAACCCTAAACCGTAAACCCTAAACCCTGCCTAGTGAGGTTGCCCCACCTGGCCCCACCGGACCAGCTGGGTCCTGCCCGGTGGCTTAGAATCCGGAGCGCAGCTCTTAACCGTTCAGGGTAGGTTCGGGGGTTGAGGGTTGAGGGTTGAGGGTTTAGGGTTTAGGGTTTAGGGTTTAGGGTTTAGGGGAACCTGCAGAGCCCTAAACCCTAAACCTTCACAACCCTATTGGGGTCTTCAGCATCGGGACTGGGTAGGTAACCTTTTAAGCTTTTTGGTTTAGGGTTTAGGGTTTAGGGTTTAGGGTTTAGAATCCTATTATTTTGAACAGGTCAGGCTTGTTTGGGCTAGGGTATTCAGCCCCTAAGGCAGCAGTCAAAGGGGTGTCAGTGAAACACAGCAGAAGGCGCCGACCCCAGTGTGTGGACCCTCTTTACTTGCAGTTTCCATCGGTTATGCCTACTAATTAAGGGGTAGCTACTACTGAACTGTAGGTAAATAGAGTCCCAGGAAAGTGTGGACCCTCTTACTCTGGTATTATGGGGTCCTTGTTTTGGGTGCTTCGGGAACCGAACGACAATATGAACATTGCTCCCTGCCTACGTCTAAAAGCCGCGATGACTTCACATGCACTCTTTGTGGTGCTTTACTGTAACTTTTCACCCTTGGCCTTTTTGGGCTTATTGGCAGCTAAACATTTAATTCACGTGCACCGGCAGCATATTGGTTCAATTTCGGCGTCGAGCTGAGCGCCCCGTTTTCTTCCTCCCATTTGCTGCCTCCTGGCAGCAGCCGCTCCTAAACCCTAAAAACCCTAATCCCTAAACCCCAAACCCTAAACCCAAAACCCTAAACTCCCCCAAGCCAACAGCAATAACAACGAACCTTAAGCCCAGCAAGTGCTCTAACCCCTAGCAGGCACAGGAGTCCCCGAAAGCCTTGAACCCCCGAAGCCATACCAGAGACTCTCTTTGCCTACAGTTTTGATGGGTTATACCTACCAATTAAGGGGTAGTTCCTTCTAAACTGTAGGTATGTAGAGTCCCGGGCAGGCCCTAAAGCCCCGAAACCCCAAACCCGCCGAGCGTTTAACCAGAGAACGGGGGATGGGCTTTACGCATCAGGCTCCTGTTGTTCGGGGCGTAGTTTTCAAGGGTTTTAGGGCTTAGGGTTTAGGGTTTAGGGTTTAGGGTCGAAGGTTTAGGGTTGAGGGTTTATGGTTGAGGGTTCAGCAAGCGCAGGGTTCAGGAAGCGTAGCGTCACAGAAGGTACAGGGCAGCGTAGACACGCCTTACCCGGAGCCTTGCTTGTAGTTCCTTTGCTGGGTGCAGTGGGGGTTACCTACGCGGTTTGCTATGATTCAGTATAGAACCAAAGTCGGTACGCAAAAGCGGGAGCTACAGTCTAAATTAGATCGCAGGGAAGCCATCAAATACTTCGGGCAGACACTGATAAGCCAGCATCCGTTGATTCAGGAAAACCTCGGATGCCCCCTGTAGTACCCTTGCTGCCTTGTTTTTGTTTTTTATTTTATTGTTGTTTTTTTTGGGGGGGCGGGGGGGGGGGGGGTGCCCTTTCCATTCCCTGGAAGCAAAAAAGCTGTACCCGTATTTAAATCCCAGGTGACTGGGGACACCTAGAAACAGTTCCTTGAGGCACCACCACAAGAAACCGCCCCCCCCCCCCCCCCCCATATCAAAGAAGACTGCATCAAGCCCCCAGGCAGAGTTTGGGGCTTAGGGGCTTATAGGGGCTATAGCGCTTAGGGCTTCTAGTAGAGGGTTTAGGGATTCTAGGGTTTTGGGTTCGGGGTCTCCTCCAATCCCAGGTGAGCGCCCCAATGCGAAAGCCCGGGCGTGTCGTGGCGCTTCTGGCTCTCCTGGCTGTCCTGGCAGCACTCCACACCCTCGCCACGGCCTTTGTATCCGGTCGAGGCCCGATGTCAGGAGTATCCCTAAACCCTAAACCCTAAACCCTAAACCCTAAACCCTAAACCCTAAACCCTAAACCCTAAACCCTAAACCCTAAACCCGAAACCCTAAACCCTAAACCCTAAACCCTACACCCTACACCCTACACCCTAAACCCTAAACCCTAAACCCAAACTAGAAACTCGAAAACTCCCCCTATAAACCCTTTCTAAACCCTAATGAAAGGCTACAAACCTTAAATGCTCTAGAAACTTAGCCGGGTTTAGACCTTGAGGCGTATAGGGTGCACGAGGTTTAAACCGCTTAACCTCAAACCCTCAAGCCAAAAGCCTCAAGCCTAAAGCCTAAAGCCCAAACCCTAACCCTGTACCCTGACCCTAACCCTGTACCCTAAACCCGCGTTTATGGGGCTTCTGCCGGTTTACGGGGATAATAGGGATTGTCACCATAACCCCTCATCTCGAAGTTGCTGTTCTTTCTGGGGGATCCCTGCCGCCACGCGATTACATGTGGGGTTCCCTTTAGGTGTAAGGTTGAAGGTTGAGGGGTATAGGGTTTAGCCCTACACTCTCCCTAAACCCTAAACCCTCAACCCTGAACCCCAAATCTTAGAATCGCACAGGACCCTATAGACCCTGAACCCTAAACCCTAAACGCTAAACCTTAAACCCTAAACCCCAAACCCTGAACCCTGAACCCTAAACCACAAATGCTAAAACGACAGGGCCGCAGGGCGCCCCCACGCGCCTGGAACTCGCCGAGCGCGCGGCCGAACGGCCGGATGGACCCGGTCCACCTGGCCAGGAGCATCAAAGGGTTTAGGGTTTAGGGTTTAGGGTTTAGGGTTTAGGCTCCAAGTCTTATCCATCTAAGGGTAGTTGCATGGTCCCTGAATATGGTCAGAAGGGAGCCGAGGGAACTACCCTTCGAATCCAGCCAGCCCCATACGCCTCAACTAAGGATTGCACCCGAAACACCTTTGAATGCAGCAAGCAAGTACCAATGGTGCTCAAGGTGGCATACTTTCGTGCGGTTCTTTTTACAGGTGTATGTCATTGTATTAAGGGCGTTATCATTTGAATAATTCTGCTCATTCGTTCGCAACCTTGATGCATTATCTGTGTTCGCAAACTTGCTCACGGGATCTAGGAAAAAGGGGTCTTTTGTTCATCAAAGTCTTCGAGGGAGAACATCCCAGCACTTTCTCTGAGGATAGGGGCAGCGTCGCAACCTCTTAACCCACAAGATGTCAGTTTTTTGGGTTCGGTTTAGGGTTTAGGGTCTAGGGGATAGGGCTAGTGATTTACATGCACTTGTACACGCAACATGCAGCTACTTTGCCGTGCTCCGGCTAAGGAACCATTTAGAAGCATGGCCCCTTCGTCTGTGCCTCTCCCTGAACCCTGAAACCGCAAACCCTTACACCAACACACAACCCCTACAAGCCCGAAACCACTCAAACATACTCAATCCTTCAAAACCCCTAAACCCAAGCCATCTTGTTTTTAGACGCCTTTAGAAAGTTAAAGCAGCAAAAGGACGGACCTACTAACACTGCAGGACTCATCATCTAAAACTGCAGGACTCAGAACCCCACCCAGTTTTTTACAGGGAGATGCGTTTCCCGATATTCGTAGTTAGATCCTTGATCCGAATATGTTACTCTCTGGGTAAGCTCTCCTGAAGAACCCTAAGGGTCCATGTACCTTAGCATTATCTAATTATGTACTTGGGCCACAAAGTCCCCAAAAAGGAAGTAGTCTAAAGCCCAAGTATTCCCTATTTAGGTACATGGACCCTAAACCCTAAACCCTAAACCCTAAACTCTAAACCCTAAACCCTAAACCCTAAACGCCGATGTCCTTTAGGGGGAGCTTGAGCTCGTTGAGAATGATGAACTGGACGGCGCCACCGTCTCTGTGCTGCTTCTTGGCGCCGGTTATGGGGTTTTAGGGTTTTTTAGGTTTGGGGGTTGCTTCTGCGCATGTCTGGATGGCGTTCTCAGGGAGGATGAAGGTATTTCGGGATGAGGGCTTGAGGTGACCCATGGGTAGTTCTCTAGACTGGGGTCCTTTTGTTGGGTCCTCTCTCTATATAGTACCGCAGCATTTAAATATAGACCCTAACAGGGATCCCTTTCTGGAGAACTATCCACATGCATGTCAAGGACGAGCCCAAAGACCCTCCATCTTCCAGTGCCCAAGCCACAGAAACTGAAACCCCTCTTGGCATGAACAGGAAAAAAAGAAACAAAAGCAAACTTGCGAGGATGGGCTATTCGACCCTAGAACCCTTAAAGAGGCACTTCAGAGGAATGATTGGAGGGGTCGGACCCTATAACCCTTAAGAAAGCGTCTTCAGAGGAATGATTAGAGGGGTCAGACCCAATAACTCTTAAAAAGGCCCTTCGGAGGGGGATTATCGGGACACGGCCCATCCTGGCCCAAATTAGCTCCTAAACTCCTAAGGCCTAAACCCTAAGCCCTAGACCGGTTCCCAAGGTTGTTTACATGTCGTCGGCTCTAGTTACAAGGGACCTGAGGAAAAAAAAACAAAAGGAGTCCAAGAGGTTCTTCAAGAAACATGTTTAGGAAGCCCCATAAGCCTTCAACCCTCTTAGCACCCTTAACTCAAACCGCAACTGTCAAATAGGGTTTAGGGCTTAGGGGTTAGGGTTTAGGGCTAGGGTTTAGGGTTCAGGGTTCAGGGTTTAGGCTTAAGGGTCAAGGGAACCCTCCTTGGCTGGACGCACCCCCCCCCCCCCCCCCCCCCCCCCCCCCCCCCCCCCCCCCCAAAAGGTTCTTTGTGGTGGTCGGAGCGCTCGTCCTGTGCTGCCTGCAGGCCTTGTGGGTTTAGGGTTTAGGGTTTAGGGTTTAGGGTTTAGGGTTTAGGGTTTAGGGTTTAGGGTTTAGGGTGTTTAGCGTTTAGGGTACCTTATTGTAATATACTTGTGTGCCTTCTTATAAAAGGGATTCCGGGCCTTAAGGGTCCAGGGTTTAGGGTTTAGGGTTTAGGGTCCATGTACCTTAGGATTATATACTTGGACCTCAAAGTCCCTATATAGGAAGTACTTTAAGGCCCAAGTCTTCCCGATTTAGGTACATGGACCCTTAGGGTTGTTTCCAGGGGCTTTTACCTTGGACCCTTAAGGTAGGATTTAGGGTTTACGGTTTGGGGTTTGGGGTTTAGGATTTAGGGATTGGGGTTTCGGTTTTCGGGCTCAGGTTATCGGGATTCACGGATTCAGGTTTTTGGTGCAGGGCTTACTGGCAGTCACGATTCAGCTTGAACAGAAAAGCTGCTTCTTCCAACTGTTTTTTTGTTGTGGAGGTTTCCGTTCTCCAGTGTGTGTAGATTCTTGCCCACAGGGGTTTAGAGTTTGGGGTCTAGGGAGCTGAGGGTTTAGAGTTCCGTGTCAGGAGGTTGCATTTTTAGGGTTCATCTGGTGTAGAACCCTAAACCCTAAACCCTAAACCCTAAACCCTAAACCCCAAACCCTAAACCCTAAACCCTAAACCCTAAACCCTAAACCCTAAACCCTAAACCCTAAACCCTAAACCCTAAACCCTAAACCCTAAACCCTAAACCCTACAGTTCAGGGACTAAGCTTTGGAAGTCCTGGTTCTAGGAAGCCCAGAGTCTCAGAGGTGCCACCTTTATACTCTTGTGGTTCTGGGTCCCTTACAAAGTACAGTAACCCTAAACCTAAACCCTAAACCCTAAACCCTAAACTCTAAACCCTAAACCCTAAACCCTAAACCCTAAACCCTCAGATGCTTGCTGGGCTGCCGAGAGAATTTTTAGAGCTTAGGGTCCGCCACCTCGGACGTCACCAGTGGAGAGGCACCTTGCAACCTCCAGGCCCATGTAAGCCCCAAAAGCCCGATGAGCCCTTACCCTGAAGCTGCGAAGCCCTAAACCCTAAACCCTAAACCCTAAACCCTAAACCCCAAGCCCTAAACCCTAAACCCTAAACCCTAAACCCTAAACCCTAAACCCTAAACCCCAAGCCCTAAACCCTAAACCCTAAACCCCCCAAACCCTACCAAGTCTTCTGAACCCTGCCAGGGAGAGGTGAACCAGGGCGTCCTCGGAAATCCCCAAAGTGCGCTCGACTGAGGGCTGGGAAGTGCGCCGGACCTCAAGAGAGAGGGCAAAAGCGTGCGCTCGGGGCGGGTGGAGAGGGAGGGTTTGGGATTTAGGCCCCTAGACCCTAAGCCCTAAGCCCTAAGCCCTAAACCCTAAACCCTAAACCCTAAACCCTAAACCCTAAACCCTAAACCCTAAACCCTAAACCCTAAACCCTAAACCCTACTCGGGTGGAGAGGGAGGGTTTGAGTCTTGGGTATTTCCCAAGATAGGGGCACCCCCCCCCCCCCAATATACCCCGAAATATTATAATCCTTATTATAGAAACCTCCAAAAAGGGTACCCCTATTTTCGGAAACCCCCATGTAGGGTTGCTGTCTGAGGGTTTGTGCGTTCTATGTTGAAGTTCAAGGCTTTCCGGGTTTTAGGGGTTAAGTGTTGTGGTGGTTCAGTTTCGACAGGATCTGCGTGAAGTGGGAGGAAAGTGTTTGGGGTGAGGGGGTGGGGCTAGGGGGGAGGAGCCTCTAGCTGCGTCCGGGCCAAAGTTCGGCTGAGCGGCTGAGGCAAACAGGCATATGAACCCCAGACCCTAACCTCCTAAACCCCAAACCTTAAAACCTAAACCCTAAACCCTAAACCGGTTCCCTAAACCCTAAACCCTAAACCCTAAACCCTAAACCCTAAACCCTAAACCCTAAACCCCACTCCCCCCCCGCCCCTCCAAACAAAAAGAAGCCTCCAAGGCCATACTGAAAGGCCTGAGAGCCGCCGGCTGTGGCGACTCGCTGGCACTCCTGGTCACGGGCCCAGGGCTGGGGTTTAGGGTTTAGGGTTTAGGGTTTAGGGTTTAGGGTTTAGGGTTTAGGGTTTAGGGTTTAGGGTTTAGGGTTTAGGGTTTAGGGTTAGGTTTAGGGTTTAGGGTTTAGGGTTTAGGGTTTAGGGTTTAGGGTTTAGGGTTTAGGGTTTAGGGTTTAGGGTTTAGGGTTTAGGGTTTAGGGTTTATGATCGGCTGTGTTTTCAAAGGCGAAGGCAGGGCCATCCGGTTGTGGGCTTTGAATTTGTTGGGTTTAGGAAGCTTTCAGGGTTTAGGGTTTAGAGCCTTAGGGTGTTGGAGCTTTGGTTGAAAGGATAGTTTGGAATTCTCTTGAGTTTAGGGTTTAGGGCTCTGACCTTTATACAGGTTTTTGGGTTTTCCACCTTCTGGGGTCCTTGCCATAAGGGGAACCCTACTAGTTGGGGGTCGAAAGTGGGGAGTTTATCGTACACCCCCGTTTAGCGTTTGTGGTTCAGTGTCTGGGATGTAGGGCCTTAACCTAGATGCTCATACCACTCTCCTCCCAATGCTCTTGCATTCCCGGGGAAAAGAAACAGCTATCCATAAATCCTGAACCCTATTAAGGACCAACCGAGCCCCAAAATAAAGTATCATATACCCTATACTGCTATAGTGCTTATTCGGGTTTCTTGAACCATAAACCTTTTCGGGCTCACTTGGTGCTTAGGGACCCGAAGCCCGAAATCCTCAGACGAGGTGGTTGGCCGGGCGTTCCAATCCCGGCGGCCCGTGTCGGTCTTGAACTGGCGTGGGCACCAAGCCCCAGGGGTCATAGACTACGTACACTAAACCCTCAACCCTCAAACCCTAAACCCTAAACCCTAAACCCTTGGTAGCCCAGTGGTGCCCTGTACTCGTTTGGGGAGTTCATGGTATGGTGTTTGGGTTCTGGGAGCGAGCTTGGATCATACACTGCCGGTTCTGGCCCCAAATCCCCAAACCCTGCGATGACCTGCATTCTCCGTATTCTCCATTTCCCGACCACCCCTAGCCCTAAACCCTAGCCCTAAACCCTAAACCCCTAACCCTTAACCCTTAACCCGTAACCCTTAAACCTAAACCCTAAACCCTACACCCCACCCCCTAAACCCTAAACCCTCTTGCAAGTGATCGCCTCTCCTCAGGTCCTTGCGCCAGGAGGACGGGTGGCTTGGGATGCTCTCAGGGCGTCGAAGCTGCGAGCGTGTAGGAACTGAACCCTAAACCCGAAACCCTAAGCCCTAAACCCTGGTCCTATACCCTAAACCCTAAACCCTACACCCTAAACCCTAAACCCTAAACCCTAAACCCTAAACCTAGGCTCTAAGCCCTGAGCCCTAAGGAAGCCCGAAGCCCTAGCTCTAAGGCTGGAACTATCTCCAGTTTCATCAGGCTTTGGTGCTGAAGGCCGTGGTAGGCCCTAAAACCTACTGCGAGGCACTGCGAGGAGTCTTAAAACTTAAAACACAAAAAACGCCCTAATCCTGTCAATGCCTGACAAGCCCCTCATCCAGAGTGCCTCAAAAGCCCGCAATCCAGAGAACCCCAAACCCCAAACCCCAAACCCTAAACCCTAAACCCTAAACCCTAAACTCCTTCGCAGGAGTTTACCCACCTTCGGCTCAGCGTCCTTCCCTATTCCTGGGACCCGCGCTTCGTCTACAGGGAGGCCGGGCTGGATGCATTTCTGGGAGGGCAGGGCACTGTAAACCCTTTAGGGTTTAGGGTTTCGGGTTTAGGGTTTGGGGTTTAGGGTTTAGGGTTTGGGGTTTAGGGTTTAGGGTTTGGGGTTTCGGGTTTAGGGTTTAGGGTTTAGGGTTTAGGGTCTAAGGTCTAGGGTCTAGGGTTTAGGGTTTAGGGTTTACGGTTTAGGGGTTACCCTAAGGGTCCATGTACCTAAATAGGGAAGACTTGGGCCTTCAGGTTCTTCCTATGTAAGGACTTTCGGGCCCAAGTATACAAGAATAAGGTGCATGGACCCTTAGGGCTATCAACACCAAACCCTAAACGCCAGGCAGCATGGTGGAGTATTACGTGCCCATCAGCCTTCCAGTTCATCTATGCTGGATGAGAATACGTGTTTTGGGATGTCTTCTTTTGAGAGATTCAACCCTGAACCCCAAGCTCTAAACACACAAAACCCTAAACCCAAGCCCTAAGCTCCAAACCCTACCTCGACTCCCTTGTCCAGGATTGCCGTCAGCGCCCCGATGACGTTCTCCTCGAGGCGGGCTTAGGGTTTAGGGTTAGGGTTTAGGGGCCTTGGGGTTGTATGTAGCTTGTAGGCGAAGGCTCGCATGCATTCTGAAGTGGCTTGTGTAGTGTAGGGTTTAGTGAGATTTTGCAATCCCTCGACAGTCTGCTTCAGCTTTGCTGCTGTCCCAAGGCCCAAATATCGATTACCCCAAAACCCGACACCCTAAGCTCCCCCTGATACCCTCAGCCCTAAACCCCAAACCCTAAACCCTAAGCCCTAAGCCCTAAACCCTAAACCCTAAGCCTAAACACTAAAATGCCCATAGTTCAGAAGCCAGAAGCCCCCTACAAAGCTACGTTTCCAGGCCCAGCTTCTCACAGAGATGAACCCATCGGCCGAGCCCTCAGGGGCTTTCCGCGCAAGAATGGGTTTAGGGTTTAGGGTTTAGGGTTTCGGGTTAGGGTTTAGGGTTTAGGGTTTAGGGTTTAGGGTTTAGGGTTTAGGGTTTAGGGTTTAGGGTTAGGGTTGAGGGTCGTGGAGTGTAGGCAATTTGAGGGTTTGGGGTTTACAGGGTTTTGGTGGGGGGGCGGCCCAGAGGCGTTCGAGTCTGAAGCCGCCGGCCATGTTGCAACCCGATATGCCCAAAACGGCGCGACAATAGCCATCCCTAAGGGCCTCTAAGGGGTTTTAGGGTTTAGGGTTTAGGGTTTAGGGTATAGGGTTTCCAACTAAGGACGAGGGCTGGCAGCTGAGATCCTGAGCAAAGGGCGCAAGCACCTCAAGAAACACAACCCGCCAACAAGCAAGACTATAGCACAGGGAGCCGCACTGCGTGTAGAGGCGGTGGTAACACTGGGTTCGGTTCGAAGCCGCCCGAAGGCAGTCTGACAATGAACCCCAAAACCCCAAAACCGTAAACCCCAAACCCCCGTAAATTATAAGCCCTAAACCCCCAAAACTCCCCCAAAAACCTTCCCCAAAACCCCAAACAGCCCAAAAGCCCCTGAGGTTTGCCTGGAGGAGGAGTAAACCCTAAGCGCTAGCCTCCCTAAACCCCAAAGAAACAAAAAACCCTACCAAACCCTAAACCCTAAACCCTAAAACCCCTTAAAAGCCCCTTGAGGTCTGGCTGGAGGAGGAGGGCCAAGAAGCCGAGATCGGCTTGAGCCGGCTGCTCGCCGCCCGGGGCCTGGGTTTAGGGTTTAGGGTTTAGAGGGTTTAGAGGGTTTAGAGGGTTTAGAGGGTTTAGAGGGTTTAGAGGGTTTAGAGGGTTTAGAGGGTTTAGAGGGTTTTTAGGGTTTTTAGGGTTTTTAGGGTTTTCAGGGTTTTTGGGGTTTTTGGGGTTTTGGGGTTTGTTGTGTTTTTTTTTTTTTTTTTTGTTTTTTTTTTTTTTTTTTTTTTTTTTTTTTTTTTTTTTTTTTTTTTTTTTTTTTTTTTTTAGGGTTTAGCGGGCAGGGTTTTGGGGTTTTTGCGGGTAATAAGGGTTTTTGTTGGGGGCTAGGGGGTTTTGGAGGTTTTTTTTTTTGGGGGGGGGGGGCTTTAGGGCTGTAGGGGCTTTAGGGGCTTTAGGGGCGTTAATTAGGGGCTTTAGGGTTCAAGGATATAGGTTTGGGGCAGTTTCGGGGCTTAGGGTTGAAGGGTCTGGGTTCATAGCCCCAAGCTAGCAACCCAACCCAGCTCGAAACTGGCCTGGTTTTTTTGTCTATCGGCCCCGATTTATAGAACTTGTTGTGGCCCATGGTCTTGTGGTCTCTACCTACTAGTTTTGCAACCCTCAACCCTAAACCCAAAGGGTTTAAAGGGTTCGAGCCCTAAGCCCTAAACCCTAAACCCTAAACCCTAAACCCGAAACCCTAAACCCTAAACCCTAAACCCTAAACCCTAAACCCTAGACGGAGTTCGCACGTGAGGCTCATCCCCAGCCGGAGCGGCCCCATTGGCACAAGGGCTTCTACAGCAAGCCCTTCAAGGACACGAGAGCCGGGCTCACGGGGTCTCGCGTTTGGGTGGTCCCGAAACCCTAAACCCTAAACCCGAAACCCTAAACCCTAAACCCTAAACCACATAGCAAGTGCCCCCTAGGAAAACTCCCGAAGCAACGCAACTCCCTGCTACCAGGGATCTCTTTTCCTGGCGTCAGGGTTTTGCTGCCAGGGTTGCGGTGTCTGTTGTGGCTTCTCTGCGGATGCAAGCGGGGCTGGTTTTTTCAGCAGCTGCCGCAAAACCCTAACCCTAAACTAAACCCTAAGCCGCAAAGCCAGTACAAGTACCCTGCACCCCGAAATCCCTCCGCCCAACAAAGAAAGATCCGAAACCTTACCCTATAGGGCTTTTTCATCTGTTTTGGGGCCCCAAAAAGGCCTTAGTATTTGGTCTTGGGCCCTGAACCCCAAACCCCAAACCCCAAACCTAAACCCTAAACCCCAAACCCCAAACCCCAAACTCCACACTCTAAACCCTAACCCTAAACCCTAAACCCTAAACCCTAAACCCTAAACCCTAAACCCTAAACCCTAAACCCTAACCCTGTGTCCAGGACCATGTCAAGCGGGCGCGCGAGGGCCTTCCCGGAGCCGGCCACTGCGAGTGGCATCGCTGGCAGAGGCGACATGACAGGTGTTGCTTCGGCCTTAGGGTTCAGGGTTCAGGGTTTAGGGTTTAGGGTTTAGGGTTAGGGTTTAAGGTTTAGGGTTTAGGGTTAGCCCTAAACTCGAAACTCTAAACCCTAAACCCTGAACGCAAGGGGTTTCGTGGGATTCGGGACTGAACTTGCTTGGGCTTCCCTCATCATCTGTGGGTTGACTACAGCATGACCTCGTTCATCCCTATCCCCAACAGCAAAGTTTGAGTTTTCGCCCATGGGTTGACCCCAAACCCTAAGCCCTAAGCCCTATAAACACTAAACTTTAACCCTAAACCCTAAACCCTAAACCCTGAGCCCTAAACCCTAAGATTGCCTGGCTGAGTTAGGTCGTTGGTCTCATGATTCATGTGTCCTGGGCGTTTGGCTTTCCCTTCTGGGAAGGTTGTGGTGTGCCATCCCCTTCTATGAAGAAACACTTAGTAGCTGAGTGAGTACACGTTACACTTTTTAGGATACTATAACCCCCCTATAAAACTGAAAGTGTACACTTTTTGGAGGCTTATGAGCCCAGCAACCACGAACACGGCGCGCGATGCGTTCGGGTGCGCACGGGGGTCCTTGAGTTTCATGATGCGCCTGAGATTCAATCAGTTTTTTGTTCTTCTTGCCTTTTCCTACTTTCCGCATGCGGGGGTTTCCGAATTTAGGAAGGGGGGGGGTACCTTGTTGGGGTCCTTGTTGCAAGGAATCCTACTACTCGGGGTATACACTAGGGGTCCCCTGTTTTTTCGTAAAGCCCCATGCCTTCTACGACTCGACACGCGCACGCGTGCAAATGGATATAGGATGGACGTGGGGCTTGGCATCACTAGGCACATCAGAATCTTCGTAATCAGACGGAGGCGGTATAAGGGATCTTGGGGGGCACAGTAGCCCATTTTTGAGGGTAGTTTCATGGGCCCTTCATATTGTCCCTAACCTCCTTTAAAGGGTTCTGATGTACGCACTCTTACTTTGTAAAGGGTATACAAGGGGTAGAAAAGTGGTACCGTTTTGAGGGCCCATGCGAAGGGACTATGTAACTACCCTTAGACCTTTGCTATCCACAGCAAGTTGCGTACCTTCCCTGGTTACGAGAACCTAGCTCTCCTCGACACTCTCCCGGACGTGAACCCTGAATGATTTCAACAAATCCTACTCTGTCCCCAAGGCAAAGCCCTAAACCCCTAAACTAAACCCTAAACCCATCAAATTAAGCCCTAAACCCTAAAGGCCCTCAACCCTCAACCCTCAACCCTCAACCCTCAACCCTCAACCCTCAACCCTCAACCCTCAACCCTCAACCCTCAACCCTAAACCCTAAACCCTAAACCCTAAACCCTAAACCCTAAACCCTAAACCCTAAACCCTAAACTGCAACTGGAAGCCAGGTCTACACCGCTCTCCGAAGCCTCGCGCGTGGCCGCCGCAATGGCAGCCAATCCCCCGAGGTGGATGGAGTTTGGGGTTTAGGGTTTAGGGTTTAGGGTTTAGGGTTTAGGGTTTACGGTTTACGGTTTAGGGTTTAGGGTTTGGGCTTGCTTCGGGCTTAGGGCTTCGGGCTTAGGGCTTCGGGCTTAGGGCGTAGGGCTTTGGGCTTCGGGCTTAGGGCTTAGGGCTTTAGGGTTTCAAGCTGAGAGTGTTGGGGGGGGGGGGGGGACGGATTGCTGAGGATATGGGGCTGTGGGTTATGTACATTTTTTCAAGTTTGGGATTGAGGTTTTAAGATTTAGGGCTTTGGGATTTAGGGTTTTTAGGTACCCTTGCTTCAGAGGCTCCGCAATAGTTCCCAGGCTGCCCTGAACTGGAGAGCTGCCCATGTGTTCTTTGTGGTGCTTTACTGTAACTTTAGATCCTTAGCCTTTTTGGGTTTATTGGGTTTTCTAGTAAGGCAGCTAAAAATTAATTTATAGCTACCCTCCTAAGTGCAGCCAAGTGTCGGTCGGTCTCTGCGTCTCTGTCTGCATCTGCGATGCAGTCTGCTTCTGTGTGTTTCTGAGCCTGTCTCTCCGCAGTGTTTCTGTCTGTGTGTACCTTATATAGGCCAAAAGGGCGCCCGTGTTATTCCTAGGTTACTGGGGTCTAGTCTAGTGACACAGGCCGCATGTGTTTCTTGTTTTGGGTGGATGAGGTGAAGCCCTCAGGAAGTGGTTGAAGCAGTTTTTTCACAGCAACAGGGCTCGAGCTGCATCTACGTACTGACCTTGTGTCATTTTTGTAGTGTCTCCTGCTTATCTATATAGGATGCCCTTTGAGGAGCCCCACCCTTGGCCCATGGCCCTAAACCCTAAACCCTAAACCCTAAACCCTAAACCCCAAACCCTAAACCCTAAACCCGACACGCCCAAGCCCTATCCGCCGCATGAAGGCCTGCCGCCCCTGAGGAGGAGGAGGAGGACGAGGAGATGCCGGGTGATTTTCCCGGGCGGGAGATATGGGATTTATGGGCTCGAAAGTACCCCCCCCCCCTGCTGCCCCGGAAACTCCCCCAAATCTCAGGGCAGGGTCTAGGGTTTAGGGTTTAGGGTTTAGGGTTTAGGGTTTAGGGTTTAGGGTTTAGGGTTTAGGGCTTAGGGCTTAGGGCTTAGGGCTTAGGCTTTGAGGGCTTCTATAGGGCCCAGGATGAACCATCCCGAAGGCCAACAGGACACCCCAAAGAAATGGCTTGACGCCCAAAGCCCACAGCTTGACTTCGTATCCCTAAGGGTCCATGTACCTAAATAGGGAATACTTGGGCCTTAAAGTACTTCCTATTTTGGGACTTTGGGGCTCAAGTATACAATAATAAGGTACATGGACCCTTAGGGTATCGCGTTGGGCTTTGGAGTGCTGTACGATGCTGTACGTTAATACTCTTTTGGGTTGTGGGTTCCGATTATCCCTACTTATACCGAAGAAGAGTATATACCTCTTTTTTTTCAGGGTCTGCTCCAAAGTAGGGAGTACGGGAGTCCCGGAGGGTCCATTTGTAGTACTATTGTGGAAGTCGGTACCCAAAAACCATGCTAAATAGGGTTTTGGGTACCTAATTCCATAATAGTACTACAAACTTATGGTCCCTAGTATAGGTATACTAGAATAGCACTGGTTCAAGGTTTAGGGCTTCAGGGCTTTGGGGCTTCAGGGCTTGTGGGTGTTAGGGCTTTAATGCGGTTGGGATCCTCAGGTTTGAAGGTTTCGGGTTTCCATTGCTCGCTGGGTTTTGGGGCTTTGGGGTCTGGAGCTGGTATGCGCGTGAGGTGTTGCTTGTGTGCTAAGCCCTCATAATTCCCAACACCTAAACGCTAAAGCCCTAAACCCTAAACTGTATGGGGTTTAGGGCCTTGACCCGAAAGCCTCATTGGCCATTCCGGAAAAAAGAAACACAACATGCCTAAGCCCTACACTCTGGAGCTTTTGCAGCAGGTGCGCACCAGAAAATTCCGCCATGGGAGAAGTGGGGATGCGGGCAGGGGGATTCTAAGTTCAGATTCGCGATTTAGGGGTGTTCGGGTTTACCCCAAACCCCAAACCTTAAGCCCTCAGAGGAACCACCGCCGCTGGTGAGCCACGAATGACTCGTCGCCCCGAAGCGTGCGAAAACTGCCGAGAGCGGGGTGGTGCCTCCAGGGTGCGAATTTGTTCGGGTTTAGGGTTTAGGGTTTCGGGTTTAGGGCTTGGGGTTTAGGGTTTAGGGTTACCTTATTGGGGTCCTTGCCATTGGATACTATTGGGCGGTTTACATTTGGGGTCCCCTATTGTCGTATAGCCCCATATGGCTTAGAGGCTTATAGGGTTTCGGGTTTCGGGTTTCGGGTTTCGGGTTTCGGGCACGGCCTAGCGCGTTTGGGGGGAAAGGGGATTTAGGGCTTCAGGGGCGTAGGGTTTTACCCTAGACCCTAAACCCCAAGCCCTAAACCCTCAACCCTTTTTGGCTCTGTGGATAGTCTTGCCGGTGATCAGCAAATAAGCAACACCCCACCGTCGCCTCGATCCTTGTCAACTCTAACCCCTAAACCAAATCAGTCGGGGTTTAGGGTTTAGGGTTTAGGGCTAGGGTTTAGGGTTTAGGGCTGAGGGCTTAGGGTTTAGGGTATAGGGCTTAGGGTTTAGGACATTTGGGGGTTTCCGAAACTAGGGACTAGACTTTCTTGGGGACTGTTTGGGTTTAGGGGGTCTATTATAGGGTTCCTAGGCTCGAAAGGGCTTGATTTCATCATATTCACCTTGCTTTCACGTCTTGTGTCATCCGCCATTGAGACTCAACCATGAGTTAGTGAGCGCTGTAGAAGGAAGCAATGGGATTATGACAGCATGTCTGAATTCTTCTGCGCTGCCAGCCAACCTCGATGGACTTGCATGCGTGTACACATGCAGGCAGAGGCCCTACTCACAGTGTAAGCACCGGATTTCCTGAGCAGACCATGACCAAGCATTTGCTGAGAGAATGTTTGCGACACGCCTTGGGGATTTAAACGAACCCCGAAAGTTTATTGGTCGGTATACCTTTTTTTTGGGGGGGGGCACACGGAGTGTATTTTCCAGGCAGGCCCCTATGAACTGCCATCCTGAACGAAAACCCTGAACCCAACCTCCATGTTGCGCTCGAGGCTTGCAAGGCCCCCCCAAGCCTTTCGGCTCGGAAGTCATGAACGTACATACAGAGTTGAGAGCTTTGTCATCGTCAGGAGAAGTCCCTAGACTATCCGGAAGCTTCCAACACAAACCATAGAGTTCACGATTGCAACACAACGGCGGTGGAAGCCACCCACAGTTCAGTTCAGTCAGCCCGTAACCAGCGCTCAAACCCAACACCAGGCCCAGCCCAACCAAGAGCAAGACCTGTACTTGCAGTTCTTTTTGTTTGGTGTGCCGAACTTTTCCTACGTACCATGTAATCAGAACATAATGTACCTCCAGAAAACGGAGCTACAACTGTCCAGCTACATTCAATGCAATCGTCTCGACCCTATTTAAGCCACAAGCACTAAGGTGAGCCAAGAACAGGTTCCCTAAACCCAGCACCGTAAACCCTAAACCCCACACCCTAGCCTTAAACCCTAAGCCCCAAACCCCAAACCCCAAACCCTTAAGGTACATGGACCCTCCGGGTTAGCCCCTGAAAGAGTGATGTCCGATGGCGGAGACGGCGGGGATGGCGCAGACGGAGGCGCGGCAACAGCCGCCACCGAGGCCCGGCACCAGGGGCGTGAGGTTAGGGGGTTCAGGGCTTAGGGCTTAGGATTTAGGGTTTGTGGGTTCAGGGATTAGGGATAGAGTTGACCTAAAGGCTTATGATGTACCATGTTAGGGGGTGGCTACAACGATCCCCAAAAGGAACTACATTGGAGCTGTCAGGCAGGTCTAGGGTAAGCCTTCAGCCCCAAATGGCAAACCCTAAGCCTTAAACCGTTCAGGGTGCAGGGTCTAGGCTTAGCGCTGCGAGCTTCTTGGAGTCAGGAGCACGATATGAGGCGCAAGCTTGTTTAGGGTTTTTGGGTTTAGGGTTTAGGGTTTAGGGCTTAGGGTCCAACGCACAACATTTCTGTGACTTGAGATATTGCCACTGGAGGTGCTCGGGTATGGGACGTCATTCGACCACGTTCCACGCACCACCTTGACTGCATGAGGACACCCTGCTGACACTTCAAAAGACATCACATCATGTTTACACGGGTTGGGAGATATGAAAAATACGACTACTACGTAGTAAGAGTAATCATAGAAGCATCAACAAGAAGAAGATAGTAATTCTATAAAACGACTCGTAGCCACAACAATAGCTGCAACAACAATCCTAAACCCTAAACCCTAAACCCGAAACCCTAAACCCTAAACCCTAACCCCTAAACCCTAGACCCTAAACCCTAAACCGTAAACCCTAAACCCTTAACCCTCAACCCTAACAGCACCAGCGATACTCGAGCCCAGAGTGTCTAAAACCACGGAAATTCTCAGCGTCCCTCCAAACCCCTATAAACCCCTAAACCCTAACCCCTAAAGCCCTAAACCCTAAACTTAAACCCTAAACCCTAAACCCTAAACCCTAAACCCTAAACCCTAAACCCTAAACCAGGCAGCGGAGGCGCCGGCCAGCAGCGGCGGCGCGAAAGTCCTGGAGGTCGAAGATCTGCGTGTAGGCTTTAGGGTTGAGGGTTGAGGGTTGAGGGTTTCGGGCTTAGGGCTTAGGGCTTAGGGCTTAGGGGTTCTTGCTGTTTGTTAAGTAGGGAACGAGGGAATGTGGTACCCTATATCCCCCTATATATATACCCTTTAAGGGATTATATCCCCTACTAACCAACAGTTAGGTTGTGAGGGTTTAGTCGGTTTAGTTTGGTTTTGACGGCTTTATTCGGCCTTCCGTAAGGAGACTTGTGAGTCCAAGACTTGAAACCTCAACCCTCAACCCTCAAACAAAAAACCCTAAACCCTAAACATTAAACCCTAAACCCTAAACCTCTGAAAAACCCTCAACCCTAAGCCCGGGCGGGGGGAGTTCGTGGCCTGGGCAGACTGGATCTGGAGTTGGCTCACAGCCTAGACGCTGGAAAGCCCTCAGCCCTCCAAAGGAATCCGAGACTAAGCCCTGAGCACGCATCCCTAGCACTCTTTCTTTTTTCAGGGAAGCCCCACATCCCAAAACCCTACATCCCTAAACCCTACATCCCTAAACCCTAAACCCTAAACCCTAAACCCTAAACCCTAAACCCTAAACCCTAAACCCTAAACCCTAAACCCTAAACCCTAAACACTCACACTCCTAAAACCCTACATCCCTAAATCCCTCGCTAGCCCTGAGACACCGAACCTGGTCTTCCAGGCTGCCTCTGCGATTTAGGGCTTAGGCTTTAGGGTTCAGGGTTTAGAGTTTAGGGTTTAGGGTTTAGGATTAGGGTTTAGGGTTTAGGGTTTAGGGTCTAGGGTTTAGGGTTTAGGGTTTAGGGTTTAGGGTTTAGGGTTTAGGGTTTGGGGTTTCCAGCCCTGGGAGGTGTACCAGCCAGACTGGGCTTCCGTCTCTGTGGGGGACAAGGCCAGTAGGGTTAGTTTAGGGTTTAGGGTTTAGGGTTGAGGGTTGAGGGTTGAGGGTTGAGGGTTTAGGGTTTAGGGTGTAAAGTTTGGGTTTGAGGGTTTCGCGTCTAGAGGGCTTAGAGTGTTTAGAGGGTTTAGAGAGGGTTTTAGACGGTTTGGGGCTAACCCTGTTTTCCCTTCTTGGGCACGAGGCGTTTTCATAACAAGGTTTAGTGTTTAGGGTTTAGGGTTTAGGTCTAAGGCTGGAACCGTGGTCCCGTAGTATGGCCCCTTATCCTTGGTTATAGGGATCCGCAGTACTTCATTCTGTGTTGCTCGTTGCTGCTCGCAACATTGTTCTCGAAAGCCCCGTGGGCTGAGAGCGACTTGCCCTAAAAAAATATGCTTTACTGTAACTTTACATCTTTAGCCTTTTTGGGTTTATTGGGTTTCTTAATAAGGCAGCTAAAAGTTTAATTTTTTGCTACCCTCCCAAGTGCAGCCAAGATATAACAAGGCACCGAAATGATGCGCCCATATTGGGGAATCAGATTAGTTAACGGTCGCTTCGAGGGGTCCCTCCTTAGTCCCCTGGAGTAACCCCGAACCCGAAACCCCAAACCCTAAACCCTGAACCCTAAACCCTAAACCCTATGGGGCAGGGGCCAAGTTGTCTAGGACCCAGAGTAGGCCATGATTCCCTCTATTTTAGGGTTTCGGCTCCCTTCTTTAATAGCTCGTTTAAGCCAAAAAGGGGCACCCAGTTTCATTCCTAGGGCGACTCTTTTGTCAGGCCAAGCTGGTCCCTAAACCCTAAACCCTAAACCCCAAACCCCGAACCCCAAACCCCAAACCCCAAACCCTAAACCCTAAACCCCAAACCCCAAACCCCAAACCCTAAACCCAAACCCCTTCAGTGAGTGCTGAGGAGTCTTGAGTTTCTTTTGGACGGATGTTGCCTTGAGGGGGTTCAGGGTTTCATGGTTCGGGAAGTTTCAGGTTTGGCGGGGGGAGGGGGGAGGGGCAGGGGCGGGGGGGGGTGGGGGGGCAGGAGCCGGGGCAGGGGGGGGGGGGGGGGGGGGGGGGGGAAAGCCCCTCGCTTCCAACACGTCGTCCTCCAAGAGTGGCGGTGGATATGCAAACGCTCTTCCGAGTGGAGTTGTCCTTCCCGCAGGATTTGCAGACATGCAGTGCAAGCTCAAGAAAAGGGTTGCCCAGCTGTTTGCCTATGTGCTTTGGTGCCGGAAGCAGTGCTTTTGCTATCCCTTCCCTTTCACACCTCAGGTGGTTTTTGAATATCTTCAGCACTTGAAAGTCTGGAAAACATGCCCTCTCAAGGATAACAGGTGCCGTGGAGGCTTTCAACTTCATCGTGCATGGGCACCTGTGATCAAGCCTTGAGCTTCCGAACGACAAGAACGGCCTACTGTGCTGCTGACGCGGTAAAGATAGGCTTTCGGGCTTTGTGCCCTAATTAAACCCTAAACCCCTCATTCCAAACGGGCTCATTCCCGGTTTGCCCCAAACACTGAACCCCATACCCGAATTAAACCCTGAACCCTAAACCCAA